AAAGTGGTTGGGATAGATATATAGTTACATTCTGTTAATGAATAGAATGATTTGTTCTAATGGTGTTTGTAAATAGGATCACAAGTCCGCATCTTGTATAGCAATTAACCACTAAGAAGAATATATGCAGTGTATTATTATGTTGAAAAATAAAAAAAATAAAAAAATAAAAAAAAAAGAAGTGAAATTCTCTACAACTGTTCTTTTCAAGGATGTTCTGGCTATTGGAGTCTCTTAAGATTTGGAAGTCCAGAGTATAGTTCAGTAATACAGGACCTTCCTAGCAAGCATGAGTCCTAAGATCAATTCCTGGTACTCAAAATTTAAAAAAAAAAAAAACTACACATGAATTATAGAATGAGTTTTTTTATTTCTTCAAAAAGAATAATTGCATTTTAAAAGGGATTGTACTCTCAGCTTTCCCATTGCTGGATATAATACCCAACCTCACAACTTAAACAGAAGATCTAATTTGGCCCACATTTTTAAGGTGACTCACTCTGTGGTCAGCTGGCTCTCAGACAGAAATATCATGAGTAAGTAAAGCCGCTCCAGTTCATAGTGGCAGGGGTATAGAGCAAGAAAAGAGAGCCAGAGATAAAGGGAAAAAGGAAGAACTATAGTTTTGCTTTTTTTCTTTTTTTTTGCAGTACCAGGAATTGAACTCAGGACCTAGCACTTGCCTGGCAGCCGCTTAACTTATTGAGCTATTTCCCTAGCCCAGTAACAGACACAATACCCAAAGCAATGACTCCATAATCTACCCAGACATACCCAGAAGTGTGTTCCACTAATCCCCTGGGTGCCCTTCACACCAATCAAGCTGACACAATGAAGCTTAATAATCATATTTTAACAATACTGACTTCCAATCCATGAGCAGTAGTTGTGTTTCCTTTTACTTATATCTCCATTTCTTTCAACAATGTTTTATAGTTCTCATTGTACAAGTCTCTGTCTTCCTAGTTAACTTAGGCAAAAAACCTCTCAGAAGAAAACAGCAAAAGCAAGCTACAGGCAATAGTCCAAATCCCATACACTGTTTATTTCTGCACAACTTGTAAGTTAGTAATTTTTGTATAAATATTTATAATCAATGTAATGATAACATAAATACTCAACTGAAAACTCAATTATGTAAAATGTTATCTCAAGAAAAAGAAATATATACTTTTCATTAATAAAATTATAGAAAATATTTTTTGATTAGTAACATTTCCAATGTTGTCAACTCAAAAATTATGGAAACTTTATTCCTCTTTACATACTTACACAATCATCAATTTTTTTTCTACTGACCCACAAAACCTAAAAATATTCACTCTCTCGCCTTTTAGACAAAATTTGTTTTTCCCTCCCTCTAAGGTATAACCTGAAAATTGGAATAAATGAGTATTAAGACATGTGTAGCTGGGGAGATGGCTCAGTGGAATAAGCACTTCCCTGGCAAGGGCAAGGGCCTGAGTTCAATCCCCGGTTCTGCAAA